TTAAATGGAACAAGTTCACATTCAGAGGTCACAATGTTAAAGTTCACATCAAACGGCAGGTGATTTTCAGGACCGGGCACCCCGGATTAGAAGGAGAGCAGTGAGTTTAGAGCGAGTTGATTTCTGAATTAAGTTGTAAATTGTGTTGATATTTGTTTTTTTGAAGTTATTCATTCTGTGTTTTGAACAACTGTGTTGAAATAAATTGTTTAGTCAGTCTGGTTGTTAAGAAATCTTCAGAATAATTTCTGCAAATATATATTTAAATAATTAAATAAATAGCATAAATGTTCGACTTATATAGTCGCCCACATATACATTCATTAGTTGCAAATGCATACTTTCAGTTCACAGTTCACCAAAAACATGAGCACATTCAATGATCATTGGTAATTTAGCACATACATGCAGAACAATAGTTACAACAAACTAAATTTTCATTAGTTGTACTAATTGTGTAGTAGAGAAAGCAGACACATTCTGTATCTGCAATTTAGGAGCCAATAGCAAATTCTCTGCTATATGGCTTTGGTCTCTCGGATGGATTAAAAAAAACATAAAAGCATGTTCAACAGCCATCATGTTGTTAGAAATTCATAGCATGAGTTATGGGCTGGGTCCAGGTTGACTCAGATAAGCTGTGCATTAAGAGATTTGCAGCATTCAAAATGGTTTCATCACTGCTTGGTTACCACACACACACACACACACACACACACACACACACACACACACACACACACACACAACAACAACGATACTATAGACAATGAGCTGGTGGAGGACTTAGATTCACTGTACACTTTTTTTAAAGAGAGAGAGAGACAGACAGACAGACAGACAGACAGAGAGAGAGGGAGAGAGAAAGATAGAGAGAGACAGACAGACAGAGAGAGAGAGCGCCCCGTAAAAAGAGCACTTTCTCTCTAGGACACTAAGCAGCAGGTGCCCAAGCCCCATTTGAGGCCTATTTATGCACGTGCCAGGCTCAGTGATGGCACACCTCCAAATTGAGTCACGTTTCCCATGGATGATAAAACCAAGGGCAGGTAATACCCTGACAGACTTTCTCTAATACCTCACGTACGGAACATTGGGACTGAAGGTGCCTCTTCACTTAATTAACACTCGCATCTGTCAATACGACACAATCCTGATTAGGATTTAGGAATCTAGTTAGATTTGTGCCGAGCTGCAAGGCTAGACAACCATCTTAAATGTAAATCTGTGCAACTGGCCTGTTCCTTGCCTAACCTGGTGATGGTCTTAGTTTCAAACTTGTCCCAGCCACATGGCTTTCACATATGGTACTTACTGTGTGTGGCCCCATTTACACCTGCTATGTCACAGAAGCTGTTTATAACTTATGTTACAATAGATGCTTCAATAGTCCTGCATATTACATTGTAAGTGAACATAACCAGCTGGTACACTTGATTGGCAGCAACTTCAATTTATTTAATGTAAAACACAATAAAGCTACAATTAATACTCTTTAACATGCGGTCTTTCTTTATTGCTTTTATACGCAGATCAGTCGCAATGGAAAATAATAATGGTGAGAGAGGGTAGCCGTACAGCAAATAAAACTGTGATTATTATTGTTATCTATGTAAACAATTGCCATTGGGAGAAGTACCATTACAGTATGATCATGGTCTAAATCCATAAAATAGAACCCAAGAAAGTAAGATATTTCCAGTATGAGTGAAAAATAAAGAGAAAGACAAAACATCAGTCAAACATAAACTTGCTTATAAAGAAAACAATTTGGAAATGGAAACATACATACTCTTATACTAACTTAACCCCTACCACCAGAAGAATAATCAGCATGCACAGCACGCACTGTGCATAGGCCACCAAGGGCCTAATCATAATTAATCATAACAACCATAGTGTTATATGTGTCATTTATGGCCGTGTTTGCTTCTGTGTCTCTCTGCAGGACAGAGAGCAGGGCAGCTCCACACACATAAACACACACACACACAGAGCATACAGGACACTGTGCAGTTTTCTTGAGTTGACGACAACTCCCAAAGCACAACATCAATTTAATCAGTTTTGCAGTAAAATATTTCCATACAAGAATCGATTTCTTATGCGGGAGACCTCGGAGGATAGGAAAAATATTGTGTTTTGTTCTACCTCCGCTAGGTATCTCAGGATTTAACAGCCATTAATTCCATTAAGATAAGCATGGGCCTCTCATGGTCATGGATGCCAAGAATTGCTGGCTGCATCTGTATATTGCATCTATACATCCATTCATTTAGAATACTGACATTTTAATTCTGTTTAAGGAAAGTTCATCTTGGATAAACTGGCTGGATTATACATTTTTTCACAGCAGCCATTTTGACATGTAATAGCAAAGTAAACACAGGTGTTATCCAATGATACTAATTAAGGTTGTGTTCCATTCAGATCAGCCAGTGTCAGGGTGCTGCTGTTCTGCATATTGGCACACTGGAAAGGCTCTGCTACACTGGATGGAACCAAAAGTCAATAGCTTGAATCATCAGTCACAAAGACCTGGAGTCAACTTTGCATTTTGTTAGTGAAAGTTAGTGTTTTTTAGCTGCGTCACTGTACACAGCATGGCAGGTTGTAAACTTTACAAACCAAGTGTCAAAATTACCACTAACCATAAAACTTGGAAGCACAGCAGTTAATGGAAACAGCGTGATGCCAGACAGCAGGGCAGCGACTGCTCTGATGCTCTCTGCTCTGCTGACTGTCAGTTAAGTCTGCTAAACCACTTTTGAAGCAGACGGTGGTATAACCTCCTCTACTGCCGTCCACTGTTATTGACTCCTGATCTGACAGTGCTCTGTGGTATGCTGATATTTTTTTAACCAAACTACGAGCAGCACAATTTTACATACTCTGTGTTGAAATATGATGTTTTCACATCCCAGATGACAGAACAGCATTAAAACGTGAGGTAGACTAATGCATGCTGTGCATCGGTGTATAAGTGTGTATGAATGATTAGTTTCCTTTCAGATGAGCAGTTGGCGCCTTGCATGGCAGCCACTGCCATCAGTGTGTGAATGAATGAATGAGTGTGGCATGTAGTGCACAGTGCATTGAGTGGTCGAAAGACTAGAAAGGTGCTATATAAGTACAGTCCATTTACCATTTTCCATTTACAGAGGTGCTCCCTGAACTGCTGCAGCTTACACAGAGAGCTTTTCTGCAGCGGCTGTTATTATACTGAGTTTGCTTTTGATAAATTCAATACAATAAAAGCCTTGTTAAAATATGAATGGATTCTGTCCCTAGAAATGCGAGACAGCTTTTGATCTCAAACAGATGTTGAGTTTAAAAAAAGAAATTTATATTTTTTTCATGTTTATGACATATTTTACTTCTAGGTACAGACATTGAAACTGTAGTGAAAGGTATATATTTTATTGGTATAAAGTTGATCTGACTATAAACAGATCATTTTCACATTTTTTGCTGGGAACCATGCTCGATTCGTGGAAAAAACAGACGAGACCTCAAATCTCTGGTGAAGCCTGTGACGCACGTCTCAGTGGGGCAGTGTGGCTGCTCTAATCTGTTAAAATGGGCGCCAAAATAAAAAAGCAAGATATTTCAGCAAGCACTACAGACGCAGGCATTGTGGACTGTCAGGATGCTGATATCTGATCAATATCAGCTCCTCGTGGTTAAAGAGCTGAACATAGAAGTATAAGAGAGCAAATTCCAGTCTAGACTGATACCAAAATGAAAAATGTTGGTACTATCATTGTGATTTACAGACTAAAAAAAAAATAAAATAAACATATTTCTGTTCTCTCCCTCCAATCACCTTTATTCCTCAGCACTCATATTAATGGTGGTTCAACACTACATCCATCATTCGATTTAATCATGGTCTTAAAATGATAATGACATAATTATCACAATTTGTCTGTGTATCCCTCAGAGACAGATGAATGATTTAGCTTAGCGTGTCAGGTGCTAAGCAGCAAGGTGTGCTCACCTATAAATTATGTAGCAGTTCAGTTAGACAGGGATGAACATGATATTTCTTGAGGGTAATCTAATCCACCCCTTATGCCATTAATTACAGCAATATAGCAGCTGTCACTTGATGCACATTGGCCCAAAAAATACTTTTCCCATAAGCTTACATTGTGCTGTAAAATTATGCATACATTTTTCTGAGCGTCACAGTCCCACAAAATGATTCATTTCACTATCAGACTTCCATCCATTTGGTCTGATAACAATTGGAAAGAATAGCTGTATAATTAAATAATTTTATCCCATTAAAGGAGCACATGTTATTCTGCATAACGTTACATCAACATACCAAATGATGATGTGCGATGAAGAGGCATTGTTTGTAGTGATGAACATACAGACAATTATTAAGCTGCAACTTTACTATTTCTGTTTACTCTCAAGACTCTCTTTTCAGCTATAGCAGACAGTTGTTTTCAACAAAAACACTCTAGAATCCCACTGTATACACTACCTGCTCCACACCAAAAGGCAAACATACAGTTAATGTGTGCATTTAGCAGCTGGTAGAGAGTTGGTAGAGAACAAAAACTCACCTAAAAGTGAGTGAGTTTTGAATTACATTCATCATGTGGCCAGAAACATGACTCTAAATGACATTCTTGCCCTGTCACCACTGAAGGTGTAAAAAAGCAACAGTTTGCTAATAAATTCACTATATTGACATAAAAGGTGATAATACGTCAATGTTGTGTTCACAACTTGTTTACGCTGCCAATGGAGAATACTGTATGCAGTGTTTCAGTTTTGCTTTATGTTCACAATGGAAGAAATCCCCCTAGTTTCACACCTAAAGAGCTCTTATCATATTCATATTAAGATTAAAGTAACTGACCATCCTTTGCCCTATAGCTGATTTCCCTACTTCTTCTGTACTGGAAGTTTTCATCCTCATGTGAATGTTATTATAAACCCCAATATCTCAAGTTGAAATAAAGTGATGATAAAAAAAAGTCTTTATTAACGTCAGAATTTATTTAACAACTTGTCACAGTTTAGGACAGATTCATACAAAAAATATTAATTAATGTAAATAAATATGAATATATTCATTAATACAATTATAGTACAAAAATTAGTACAATTACATTAACATTCATAAATGTAAAAGCATCACATTTAAAAATGAACTTCTATACAGTGACAAAACACAAAAAAGAAAGGTATAACGCCTTAATAACATTATTGAAAACAGCTCCTTTAAAGACATCACATAACATTTTTTTTTAAAGGAAAGCCTTCCATTATCCAATTATCTGTTTCTTGTTACTGTTCTTGATCCTGAGGTAGTAATGACCCGACTGAAAACATATGGGTTACAACACATTTGTAACACCTAACCAGTGGCTTCATTAGCTCCATGAAAAATTAACTGAATACTGACCCAGTCTTTACACCAGCTAAGTTATTCCTGACTCTGCATTCAAACAGTGCATCCGTTTATTGAGCATATATTCATGTAATTCTACATGAAAGTCACTCAAATTTTGTCCAAGCTTAACACATCCAAGAGATGTGTTTATATTTTATTTTTCAAACCGACAAAATGGTTCAGCAAGAGTTCAACAAAATCAGGACTTTTAATTGTCCTGGCTCCACAGTGGTGGAACAAGCTCCCCATTGACATCATCTACACATCTTCTTTCACAGACTGAAAGCTCATCTGTTCAAACCGCACCTGGGCCCATGAAAAACAACAACGAAACAACTCTTTCTCTAGCTCTTATTGAGTCTAACTTGAAGCAGTTCCGCATATTTGATGAAATTCTTTTTGGGTTATAACCTCATGGTTGAATGCACTTATTGTAAGTTCCTTTGGATAAAAGCATAAGCTAAATAAATTTAATGTAATGTAATGACTGATGACGATTAAAGTGTCTCATGCTCTGCTCTTTGCTTGTTCAGGCACTACAAATGTTTTATTAACCTGGAAATGGTGTGGAAGGGGTTTATTTTTTTAAAGTCCAACAGTAGGAGACAGGGCAGCTCAGCTTTGTTTTTATAAATTCAATAAAAAAGTGTTTTACTGTATATAAAGACAAAATAATCAAACTTGGAGCCAAAGAAGATATCAGGTTAATAGTTTAGATTATATAATATTTATTTAACAAGACCTCATTCACTTTGCATTATTTTATTTCTTGTTCCCTCGGAGTTGTACGTTACCTATAGTAAATAGGGCCAGGCTGGTCCCACAGTACCCTTATGTTTGCATTGCAGTTTCAGATGCACACCAGGCTGCATAGAGATGCCAATGTATACTACCCAAAAAGGCAAGCAATAACTATTTATTTTAGTTTTTAAGATATAAGGTTTTACACTACAAGATTTTTAGAGATCAACAAGTTTTTAGACTGTGGGAGGAAACTGTAGAAAGCGTGCGTCACAGTGAGGTTTTATATCAACAAAACTAATGTAAGAGCAATTAGACAACATAATGTCCTGTCCACTTTGTGCTCACAGGGTTAGCACAGGTGAGCATAGAAGCCAATTTTTGCATTTTTCTTTTTTAATGCTCAACTAACAGTTTACCTTTACAGGGCTAATGAACAGCATCAATGCTACCCTGTAAGTTTATTATCACCATTACTTGGATGTCCCCTGTTGGGTGGTCTTGTAAGTAGGGAGGAAGGGCAAGTACTTGAAACATCTATACCTCTTCAAAATACCATTGCAGAAAGGTATATCATAGCACGACTGGTCACACATGTTTTTGCTTTGGTCTTGTGCCTTGTCTTGCCAGTTCTTGATGCCGCGCTCTTTGTCGGTGCCTGAAAAAGAAAAGAAAATGTTTGCTGATGGTGATGTTATGGCTTGTTTGGTAATTTATTATTATTAACACAAGTATTCTGTCATACCTGGAATAGTGTTGTCCAGGATAAACCCAAAGAATCCTCCGATGAACATGTGTGTGGTGAAGAGCACTACAATCACTTGGTCCAACTCTGTTATTCCTTCAAACACAGAAGACAATACATATATGTCATTTGTTACCCTTCAGTAGCTTGTGAACTATACAGTAAATCTTTTAGGGAGATTGTCTTTGCTCTTGCTTTCTCCACACAGAGGTCAGAGGTCTGCTTTAAGTTCAGCCTAATAAAACTAAAAGAAATACAAGCTGCCTCAAACCAAACCCAACAGCAACTGGGGCCTGACCGTAAATTCTGCAGGACAGGATAACAGCCAATTCACACACGGTCCATCTCCGATCCATCTGTTGGATGGATGTCATACATGTCCAGAAAGGCTTTCTTGGCCCGACAACCCATATCTGTGTGTGTTAAACCCTCTGAGCTGTATACCTTGAATTTTAATTCCCTCCACATGTCCAAAAAACAATGTATATTGGCAGGCACAAGATGTTCTGGATGACTTCAGTGATCAAAATGTATGCAGCATTCCGTAGGATGATGTATTCATGAAGCACATATCAAGCGCAAATCAAAAAAAAAACTGAACAGTGTAGGAAGTTAAAGGATCAGTTAACCCAATTCACAGAAAGACATATTTTCTCTCTTAACCCGAGTGATATCTAGCCAGGACAATTTTGAGATATCTGTCTCTGTGTTGGAGTGGGAGAATGAGATTTCTGCAAAACCCCATATCTACCACATTTTTCTTCATTCCTGAGGAGTAAAATCCTTATATTTTTCCTTATACTCATTCACTTACTCTGGATAATCCACAGATTTTCATTGGAGCTGAATGTCATTTTTCAATACTGTAGGCACCACAAACAACCTCTATTTTGCGGGGGTGGTGGCAGATATCTCAGAGGTGGATATCTCAGATCTGGCCAAGTTAAATTAAAACTATTTGCATGGGCGGGTTGCACCAGGGTTATGTAAGGAAATATGTTTCTTTGCAACTTTGGTGAATTAACCCTTTATCTTGAAGCCTTATATACACTAAAATATCTGTCCTCTTTCTCTGTTCACATCTTAAAGAATGACGAGAAATAAATGAGACTAAAGATTTGTGGCCATTGCACTAACCTCCCCTTAAAGGCCTGGCAGAGTTATGGAGTCACAATAATGGAGATTAATCCAGCAGGACTCAGGAGAGTGTTGTAAAGTCTGCAGGTCCACAAATGTCCAGATATTTGGACTTTTGAAACTGGCTTTGGTGGCTGAGGGGCAGCCTCTGTAATCACTAGACCACCGTGGCACTCCAATATCCTGAGTCAGAGTTGGCCTTTCTTGTGGCATGTGCTACCACCAGCACATGGGTGAATACAGAGCGCCATTGAATATGTGGATGCCTGCATGTCCAATTCCCTACTTTCATAATGCCCCTCAGGCAATAAACTGCCTAATGAAGTTGTATTGAATTGAATCAAGAATTGCAAACAGCCCTGACGTAGTTTGGCTCCGAACACATTCTTGTTCAAAGAACACATCCAAACACAGACACACAGACAGGCACATACACACACTTCCTGCTCAGATAGGCAGCAGTCAAAAGTTCAAGGCACCCGCTGAGCTGGATTTTAAGTCCCATAACCTCCATCTAAAGACGTCTGGGTGAGCAGCAGTTTGTTTACAAAGAGAACTGACAGGCCTCCTCTTGTGTGGTGCTATCATCTGAGTGTTGAGACTGGGGAAAAACTGGGCAAGAGTGCTTTATCTGAGCCAGGCAGATTACAGCCGGTGACATGGCGCCTTGTCAAGAGGATTGGGAGGTAAGCAGCCTAGACCTGAGAAAACCAGACAAGCCCTCATGCCCAGTGTTGAACTCTGGATTAGCACTTTCCTGATAGACACTTGCATCACATGACTCATGGGATCAAGGTCTTATGTCTGCAGAGAAGAGCTGTTTAATCTTGAGGATTGCTCTTTTGATGGCACTTCATTGGAGGTGGCCACAAACCCACTATGCAGCCAATCAATGGGTCATCAAAAGCAGGGAATCATCAGCTGATAGCTTTCAATTAATCTCTGATTGGTTCTAAGATCTTTGATTGATCAGACTTGTGTTTATAAAAGCGCCACATGGTCTAATTGCATCTGTTGGATTAATGTTTCATGACTGGATTAGTGTAATTGGGTTCTACCTGTTGTGTGGTTGTTTGTACATGTATGAGTACATGTGTGTTTATGTAATGTGAAGTTGAGAATAGTTTACTTTTTTGTCTCGATTTTTATTTTTTTAATTTCTTTTCTCAAGTTTCCTTTTCCAGTTTCCTACTGGTTTTCTCTTCCTACCTGACCAACCACTTCTGACACTAATGAACTCACTGGCTTTAGACGCACCCACAACCACTGCCATTTGTGTACACTGGAAGACACAACTAATTTAGTAGCACCACTAAACCCAGTCTAATCCAGATTAAACCTGGTGGTGATGTGTGAGAGTTATGTCCTCTTTCACCCAAGTAGCCTAATTTTCTCCCTTGAATCTTTTTCCATATTATTCTTTCAGGCAGTAGCATAGTAGTCAAATTTTATGATCATAATGCACTCAAAAATCACTAATTATTTGCAAAATACCTGATTAAAATATTCATGGAGGTCAGTCAGTAATATCTGTAATCGGCAGCAAAACAATAACCCCCCCCACACACACACACACACACACACACAGGCTGAACAGCTTCTTACACCCAACTAGACCAATGTGGTGGGATCCGACTGCCTGACCAACTGAGATATAAACCGACTGACATTTCTATCCTTAAACTGCCTATCTGGGGAACAGACAAACAAAAAAACTAATTCAAAGTTCACCATTTAAGACAATTAAAAAGGCTCTCATTGCCACTTTCAAATCTAGGCTAAAGACAAAAGGTTGCCAAGATTTTGCCATCTGGACCTGTGGGATTTGGGAACACCTTGGCCTTATAAGCCTAGGCTGGCAGAATCGATGCCATCTTTTCCAGGGTAATCTGTAAGTGGAGCAGTGGGAGCACACAGCCTCCCACTCACTGGGCCGCGTTGCTCCTCTGATAAGGATTTACAGCCTGTGTCAATTTCTGGCTTTTTTTTTTTTTTTTTGAGTTGCTTCAAAAATAAAAACAGAAAAAAATAAAAGACTTGTCACCAACACAAAAGTGAGAAAAAGGTATGTGTGGATATGGTATGAGATTCTAAAGTGAAACTGACAAAGTATTCAAGGTTCAGTAGTGATCTGATCTAGTGGGCAAATGTCATCAAATTGCTGTTTTTCTAAAGAATTGAAGCACATTGCTGCTGGGAACTAAACCAGTGCTGATACATATACAAGTTAACACATGTTTGTGTGGCGTGTGAAGTTATACATTAGGTGCAGGTGTTTTGACACGTACCATTTACTTCGTTTACCCTTATTTGTTTGCCTTCTGTCCAGGTCTGATGACATTTTGTAACAAAAGAAATAAAGACAAACCTGTGAGAATGAGCACGGATATTTGAGAGTCTAGCCCATCAGGTGCCACAGCTCACTTTGCATAATCAGCCATTTCAAACTGCCCTGTTTCTTCATCTTTTCTGTCCAAATTACTTCATGAAGAAGTAGCAAAAGAGTTTGTCATGGATGTCTCTATCTGTTTTGTGCAGGAAGACAGGAGAATATTTACTGATGGGATTTGGGGGATTGCCTAGCGACATAACTAACTATATTCTATGCCCCCCCATGTTGTTCAATTTTGCACCTGTCTGACTAATGCACTTGTGTATGGTATTGGAAATATTCATTATGTGTGTATATATTTTTAAATATCTTCAAGACTGTTCCCAGTGTAAAGGACTGAGCCGGTGAGGACACTTGGAATTTTTGTCTGTGTGTGTGTGTGTGTGTGTGTGTGTGTGTGTGTGTGTGCGTGCATGAGTGAGTGTATGTCTGAGTGTATGTCTGTTGGAAAATCACCTGTGTCAATGATGCCAGGATTGGAGTTAAACCAGGTAGGTAAAACAAGACCGCTGAAGGTAGAGAAGCCGAGGATGAGGAGGTTACGGGACGAGTTAAGGTCCACATACTGGGGAGAGAAAGAGAGAGACTTTGTTTTGTTGTTCTGCCTCAGCTGGCTGCCACCTCTGTTTTGGAACTTCACTAAAATATGATTAGAAATAATCTAGAACTCCAACACTTGATTTCTGGTCCAGGATTTATCTTTATTTGATTACACATCAACACATTGGAGGCAACCCAGTCTATAAATGTGCTCTGACTGATAAATCAAATTGTAAAGAAGCAGGCCCATTACACAAAATGGCTGAAGCTCTCAATAAAGAGCCAAAGAACGCCCCACCTCTGGGTTAGTTTCTGTTCTAGTAGCTTTCAGCTTTCATGCATTTTCCCATTGAGGATTTCTTCATTAGTCTAAAAACTGAAACGTAATACTGGGCTTTTCTATCCATATTCTGAGCTAAATCTGAGTCATTACAACCAATTATTTTGTATATATACTATACTATTGCCTCCACAAGTTTTGACACCTATGACTAAGACTCAAGGGAGCTATAGTTGGTCAATGAAAACAAAATAATCCATTGGAATATGGACACAAGATCCTAGTATCTGGTTTCATCCTTTTTACAGACTGAGGAAAAAAGACCCTGTGGGAAAATTACACTGTCTGGGTGGGGCTTTGGCTCTCGCTACACCAAGGCCATCCAAAGTGGGGCCAAAGTTGGGCTGCCATAAGGTTTAATTTGGCCGGCAAGATGTTTGAAGTGAAAAATGATTAAACATTTATTTAAAATATATAATATAAATCACTGTTAAGTCAGTTTTATTTTTTGTAATGTAAAAATGCTCTTTATGTACATGGGATTCCTAGTTATTGGAAGGTTTTTTGTTCATTAAAGGAGCAGCGTGAGACATTTCAAACCAAAGGGACCAAACAGTCTGTGGCTGGTTTAATGGGCAACAGTGATAAAGACTTGCTCTGGCACTCTTGCTTTAATCACATAGAAATATATTTTTTGCCAAGAAACAGTATTAGAGTTGACCTAAGCTGACTGGGTTGCCTGTTTCTTGGATTGACTAAAATTGTATCACCACCCTTAGAGGGCATTCATGTATCATGGACTTAATTTCTCAAGGGCCAGTAACTGCCATGCTAGATATGCATGCAGAGGGAGCAATGGTATGGTATTTAGTATCTGATATGCAACTGTAAATTTGTTTTAAGAAAACCTATGTATATAGATATAGTGTTGTTGATTGATTCATGTCCAAATGTTGACATATTAGTGCAAAGTATTTGAGTTTCTAAATATTTTGCTATAAAAATGCTTTGCAACTAGCCTCAACTGGTTGAAACCCCATTACAATTGAATTTTTCTTGGGTGATCTGGAGGCAGGTCACATATCTGGTGGCAACTTTTGTCACCATTCAACCAATGCTCCCATAAAACCAACGTCTCAACTCTGCAGAGTGTGGCCTGCTACGTAGTTGTAGCCTGACACAGTCCTGCACAGATGCTGGAGAGTAGCTTAGCTAGTGTTACAACACAAGTACAACACAAAAACTTTTAAAACCATAAATGTGGTTCTGTGACTGTCAAAGCAGATTCTCTGTGTTTTCCAGTGCGGACATCTCAAAGCAGCTGCTCAAGGCTAGTTAGCTCTGACTACTGGCAGCTGTACTGCTGCTATAGTCAGCGGTAGTCAGACTGTCACTCTGGCAGATGTTACCTCCCGCCAGAGTCCTGCACGGGTCAGGTTGTGTTTTCTTATTTTTTATATTAACTGATTTATTTTTCTTTCTTTATTATTATTATTTTATTATTTGTTGGTCTGTAACCTTGTATATTTGATTTTTTTTTTTCAGTTTGAGCTACCCAAATAAAGTTTATTTAATTGTATATAATTAATATTACTTTTGTTATAAAATAATTATTTAATAATTTAAGTGATCCCCATAGGATTCTTCTGTTTTTGCTGTATTTCAGGTCAAGGGGTCAGTGCCAGAGCAGCACCCCCGGGGCCACTAGACTCAGTAGGATATTTACTATAGTTTAAGGACAGCAGGGTGGATGCTTTGTGACTCAGGGTCTTGATCTTCCAAGGAGTGGGCTATCTCACTACTCCATACATCAGGTGCTTTGGATAAAAGTGTACACAAAATAAAATATGATATGTCACAATATTGGAATATGTTTACCTGGAGATTGGATATCCCCACCGCTGCAATCATTCCAAACATAACGAGGAACATGCCTCCGATGACAGGGTCTGGTATGGTGATAAAAACTGCTCCAAATTTCCCAAAGATCCCCAGGACGATCATCAGAATGCCGGCCGTCTGGAGGACCAGTCTGCTGCCAACCTGGCATAAAATAAGCACAGGGACTTGTTATCCAGTGTATACAAGATGGGTTAATCCATAATTTTCACCATACCAGCTTTATTTTTTACCAGGACACTGTGTGTGGAAAAAACTCTGAAAAACATGCATGTTTTAACAGGTAAACTATCAATCTCATCTGCGATGATTTGAGAGAGACATCAGAGAAAGCGGCCTCAGTAAAAGAATGCTCAGGTCAAGCCTGCACAGCCCATAAAACATTTAATTGTAACATAAGCTTTTAAGGCCTCATGATGGATGTTCTCATGTATGCAATGCTGATGGTTGCTCATGCAGTTTTATCCAAATGTATTTTCTCACTGTCATTTGACGTAATTTATTCTTCTACGTGGACAGTTTTTGCTATTTGGCTAGAATGTCAAAATTATATTTTTGAAAACAGCAAGTAATTCAACAAGATATAGTGGCGTTTGACGTAAGAAACGGAGCTGTTAAATTCCATCAGCATACTACAATACTCCAGTATACATAATTTAACAGAATGTCTTTCAAAGAAATAGTGAAAAAGGGATGAGGACACTCAGCACTCACAATGGCCAGGACACACTGCCCACATGAGCAGTCATGTGCATCGCTGAACCTCTTCCTTTTTATTTTGACGCCCATGTTAACAGGTTAGAGCAGCCACACAGCACTCCAGTAGAGAGTAGAGGTCTTGCCTATTTTTTAACACCAGTGGTTCTCAGCAAAAGTAGACGGCGAAAAGGATCTGTTCATAGTCATTATACTAGCAACCTATACACCTTTCACTGCAGTTTCAAATCCATATTTATACAGTATGTCGCAGATATGAAATATAAATATATATATTGTCTCCTCAATAACTCCTGTATCTGTTTTAGATTTAAAGCTCTTGAGTGTTTCTGTTGACATAATCCATTCATTTGATAACAAGGCTTTTATTGTATTGTATTTATCAAAGATAACTCAGTGAAGCAGAAATTGAAACAGCAACTCCTGCTCCAGTTATACAGTATATGACAAGGATTTAAATAATCAGCCTAGTCAGCAGCTCAGGCAGTGACACTCAAAAACAACTGCAGCACAATCCATAAATCATCCAGAATCATAAGTTTACCCTCCCATTAAATGTATAAGAGCCAAAAAGTCAATCATTTCCGAACCCTCTTACCCTGCTCACTATCTCAGGATGTGCTACAGGCCTCTGTCCCCCCAATACATTGAGCTTCATAGACAACTTGTATTTGACCTGCATTTAACCAGGATGGTCTCATGAGATATACCTTTATTTTTTCTTGCCAAAACGGCAGCATTATAATGTTAAACAAACCATCGTTCACAGAGGAAAGATGAGTTAAAAGGTCCAGTGTGTAGGATTTAGTGGCCATAGATTGCACCCAACTGATCTCCTTCCAAGTGTGTATTATATTCCATTTCTGCTAATAGATTCTCTTAAATATTACACAAAAGACAGACAATTAAACACGTTTGTTTCCAACAAAAAAAAACTATTAATTCTTAAATGGAACATTTCAAATTGTCTGTACTGTTTGTGGGACATGTGTATGTATGGTGTTGCTGACGCAGTGAACTGAGCTAACCTTCCATGCTGGCCTGAAAAATAATTCCACCAAGCCCTAGTCATATGATCATTGAACTGAAGGCAATGCACATTATTAGCCTATTATTCTTTAATTGAGTATCAGCTGATATGTATGCAAACATCATAACTCTAAATAACTTCATATTATATTCTTAAACTTTAAAATGATTATATGTGGATTTAACACCATCAGCATAAACTACATGTCAGGAGAAGAGCCCCCTAGCTTGCAAAACTCTCAGCCAGACAGACGTTAATTCCCTATAAATCATCATTATTTATGCATTCCACAGTCCACACTCTGCCCTCCACTTGGCACTTGGTTAAATATAGCTGTGCACATCACATGTGCAGAGGTAATAGTATGTCATGAGTGAATTCTTGCACTGTGATAGTCGGTATAGTCTAGAATCAGTATGACAGACACAATTGCCCTCCAACAAGAAAATGTTACCTACTATCTAAAACGTTAACCTAAAATCTAAACCTGTTTACCTTTTTCATTTATTTACAACCACTTGCCACTTGATATTCCATTTCGCAAAGTGCAAAAGAACTGATAGAAGACTACAAAGCATACTGTGACCTTTGCATGCCTCTCACCAGGCCCTTGAAGGGTTGAGCTAACCAAAGTCCACTTGAGTTTTCATTGTAATATACCGTGACTAAAGACAGCAGTGGGGATTCTTCAGAGGGAAGTGCCTGGGGTCAGTTAACCATCACAACACTCTTCAATACCTAAAAGGTCTTTACTGCCACAGGCAGGAAGTGACAAGCATTTGTCAAGATACAATAAATTGTTCCTTCTTTAACCTCTAAACTCATTAAACTCATTTCACTCGTAAATGTAATATCAACCCAATTTCTAGCAGCAGGAGGCAGCTGTTCTAAGCAAACAAGAAAAACTGTATTTTACCTGCCAAGCATCAAATGGCACACAAACTTAGCAATTAGCTGGTAAAGAAGTAATATCTAACAGCGAAAGAGCCAGATATTTTTCCTAGAAGTTGGTGGAGACAAAAACAGAGCTAAAAGGAGAGTGAATATTGGACTTACATTCATCAGACTGACAAAAACACAACTCCAGATAAATGCTAATGTAGCTTATCTATATCATGTTTATATGTGAAAATGTATAATGATGTCAAAACTGTCAGTTAGTTGGCCTTTCATAGAGTTCTGCAGCTTTAAAGATTCCTAAAACATAAGCAGAGACTGTTATGACGTATACCTTGGTAATGCCAAGTGCAGCGATGTTCTGGCTGTAGGAGGTGGTGCCGTTTCCAGTTCCCCACAGTCCAGCCAGGATACAGCCGATGCCCTCCACAGCGATACCTCGGTTTATGGCATGAGTAGGAGGAGGAGGGGCGCCAGACAAGCGAGCACAAGCATAGTAGTCACCGATTGATTCCATGGTAGATGCCAAGACGCCTGCCATCATACCCAACACTGAAGACACACTCACTGTGGGCAACCCCCACTGACCTATGGGTATAGAGTAGGCATACTTTAGTTTCCATACATGTAGCTACAGACACACAACTTTACACATTAAGACTGCAAAAATCCCACAACATTTAAAATCTTTTAGGGGTTTGTTCCAGCTCTGGTTGGCACAATAACTGAATGTTCCATTTATTTATTTTTTGATTTAGGGAATGGCTTGCAGACTGCTACCAGATGACCTGAGAGGGCAAGATGGTTCTTATGTTAGAAGACAAAGAGGTATTTTGCTCTTAAACCACTGAGGGATTTATAGACAAGTGGTACACAATACGTGCCAGACCAATGGTTTAAATTACGACATGCCAACTTATAACAATCTGTTATACAAACATCTGGGCAAATTCAAATATCATGCTAAGATTTTATTTCAAAACAACTTTTCAGATTTTAATACAGTGGACTCATCCCAGCAGTCACCTAATTTTCTGGATAACAGAATTTATCACACAAATAACTCAACAGGTGAGGATCTCTGATCCTGTTTTTCTTAGAACCCAACAGCTATGTACAACATTGACTATTGCTAAATTTCTTCTTGACAACATGGCAAGAAGACTCACATATGACTCTCAGCACAAACTAAATGTTCAACATTTTCTTGCAAAACTGCTCTCTTTGAGGCCCTTATGGTAAATAAAACATGATAAAAGTACCCTCTAGGGCAGTGGTCCCTTAAGGGTTTCACTATAAAAACATCACAACTTTCTGCATGCTAAAGCCCAACAGCCTGAGTCTGCCACTGGACGGGGGTAACATGCCATAGTGTTCTTCATCTGAGCTTGATTAAGGGACACTGTAGTGACATGCACACCAAACATCCCTGCACTCTTTATAACTTGGTTTTTGTCTCTCTGGTCGATGTAGGCCTTTAATATTGAGTGGCAATGATCTACATGCACAGAAGAAGGAGATGCAGGTATTGCAGGATCATATCATATATGATCATACATCATATTTTTTTCTTTTTTAATATGCAGACCTTTCCACCATAGTCAATTATAAAAACTCAAAATGTTCTATGTACAAATTGAAATAGAAAGGTGGATGGAAATGTATCAGTTGAGTGCTGAGTGGTTTAACACTTCTTTTTTTGTGACATTTACAAAATCTGGAGTACTTCTAAAGCAGGCTCCTTTCATACCCATCTCATTAACACATCTTCAGAAACTGATGATGCAGATACACTGTTTCTGATTAATGGCTTAAATCAAGCAAAATGCATAGGTTCATATTCATAAAACTCTTAAACTACCAGTTCTGCAGTGGGAAATTTTTTCAGATTAGTCATTATTTTACTTAACAACAACATTGATTATAAATGCCTGCATTATCAGTGTCAAATCTGCTCAAGATCTTCGCCTTCAACATTAAATATTTGTCATGCATGGTAGAAGGGGTTTGGGTTCATATTAGGATAACAGTGTGAAACCAGCAGATTTTTGTGTTTTATTTTGTTGTTGTTGTAAATACCCTTAATTCATAACCATTTATGCACACTGAGTCATGCCAAAAACATTGCGTGCATTGTTAAAAAATAACGTGCTATCATATAAAAAGTTTTGTTTATTTGTTTCATTGGCACAGTTCCTATTATTATTGTAGATTGTTTCCTGGCTCAAATGTGGATTACCAGGTCTAAGTGAATGTACCATCTACAAACAGCAGGTGCGTGTGCAAATAGAGTAAACAGTAAACAGTAAGTCATAAAACTAACTTGCCATTTAAATTTATGAATAAAACCGACATCACACTGACATTGCAAGTGAGTTTTCCGAAACTCACAAATCCATAAATTGTTTTTGACAGACATATGTATTTAATATTTGGCAGAAAACTGAAGCTACATTAAGCTCTATCTACAGATATCTACATCATAGTTAAAATTATTACAATTGTCTTTGATCAATTTGCAAGAGCAGATAAATAAATAAATAAGTAGTAAAATTCATATAAAGAAATAAGCTCATATAAAGCCAGTGAAAATTAAATGAAGGGCATAACCACTTATATGAACAAATAAGACGTGGCAACAGCTAAGCTACAGAATGTCCTCTGTTTGCATTTGGTGAATATTTTTCAAAAGATCTAAGAAGAGGCTTTAGTTGTAAAACTAAAGACCATAGACAGCACTGATGATATTAATGCACTTACCTGGGTAAGGCACACGGAACCAAGGGGAGTTTGTCACAGCATTCAGGTTGATGTCAGTCCTTGCTGAGAAGCCGTACTCATTGGATTTTGAAGGAAAGACGTCAAAGATGGTCAGTAAGAAACAGACCAGCCAGGCACCGCACATCCCAAACAAAGCCTAGAATTTGTTATCAGATACAGACTGTCTCAGTACATTTAAACTGCTTGACCAACCAACACAAAACATACACTACTGAAATTCTTTTGAGAGACTCCTCGAGGCCTGGTGTTTGAAGACCTTAAAGCTATTGAGCACAACTACACAACTAGCCCCAAAAAGCCCACATAGCTAACATTGCCTGCCAGTTATCTGTTTTTTATCAAAAGCCAATGACAGTCCTATCTATCTTAAAACCAGTAAATTGGACTACCCCTAACTGCAAGCACAGTTGTTGGGTAGAATCTTCTAGAGCATAGGTGTGAAGAGGGGCTGGGTTGGAATTCAGCTGCAGGGAAAGAAGTCTCTCCCTACAGCTGAATTCCAGGAACTTATTTATATGCATAACTGTACTGTTTATCACTTTCAAATATTTTACACTGCATGTGTCTTCATACAGAACGGTTTCTGATTGTATTTGTACAAAGATTACGTGGGAGCAAAGAGTTGTGCACAAGAGGGCGTTTTGTCATGGGCATGTCTTCTAGAACTGTCAGACAGTAGCTTGAGGGCAAAAAAGCAAGCCAGACAACCATGTAATTCAAATTTACTTGATTTCTGCTTTGATGTCATGTTGACAGTTTCACCTAAAGGCTCAAAAGCTAAGATAAATTGAGTGAGCTCTATGAAAGAGTTATATTTAAGCTACAAATTATACATACGATGTGATTTAAGTACTAAAATACAGTAGGCCTATGATACCATGCATTATTAGGCCACTTAATGATGAATAGGACTTGGCAAGAGGCTGTGTGGCTATTGAGCATTGACTAACCTCATACAGTAGGTGGGCTCTTTCTATGCTGCTAATCCCCTATATTCATTCAGGCTGAGTCATATTGTATGCTTTGCATGGCTTAATTTGATGATGGATAGCATACGTGATTAGTTAAATAAAACATTACAAATTACAACATTACCATATACTGTAAGATCAAGAGACCTTACAGTTTTGTTGATTCAATAAACCTTTATTTATTGAATTAGCATTTCATTAGAATGTGCAGTATATTATCTCTCCTCACCATCCTTCTGAACCTTCAAGGAGTTATACAAAGTCACACCCAGAAGCTTCAAAGCGTGGCCGACCAACCCTTAGGCTGCTGCCATGATGTATTTATTTTGGCTATTGTTGACAAAAAGATATATGTCATGTTGATTGATGGAAAAGGGTTAATCTGCATTAAAGTTCAAAATATATGTCTCACTTGTCACAGTGTAAATAACTTTTGCTTACAAAGTAAAATCTGTATTCGATAAGTTCTGATTGACCGCAACCAGTAGAGGATTGTGGCTGTGCTCGTCAGCTCTCATACTGACTAGGTATGTAACTGCATGAATGTGAAGCAGGGCGGTTGTCAATAAGAGCCTGTGTGTTTGACTAAGATCCTTCCTGGGAAAAAAAAGGTTATAATGCAGTCTCTTTGTCGGTCCCTCGCTACAGGCATGTGGCAGGTAATAACTGTAATCACAAGTCATAGTAGAAGGCTTGGAAATGTGTTCATACCCTTTCACACTGCTATTTCAGTGTTAAAAAGAATAAAGTGTCAGCATTTAGCAAGATTCACAAATAAGTATTATATATGCCTCCCTGAAATAAAGACATTGTCTACTGTGAAAGCCAAACAAAGCTTTTTTCTCTGTTTTCTTTAAAACAAGTTGTTTAGTCCAAGCTGATACCGTGGATCAAATGTGACTAAACACTTCCTGTAGACTTAACTGGTTAAATATGAAAGCAACACTATTTGCACAGAGGCTCCAGGAATGGAGATAAGAACACTTGCATTGTAAAAAAAAAAAAACCCAGATGTTTAAGTACGCTACATAAGTGGGATAAACTTGTATTTTAATTAAAAATCTAGTTCCACTTGTTTTGAATATAGAAAGATTATCTAGCATTCCCGAATAGATTTTCTCACGTATCTCACCTAAAGCCACTTGGTTAGAAATGTTATCTTTACTTTGGTCATGTTTAACTAGATACAAAAACATGTTTTAAAGATCACCATCACTCCATGACGTTTAAGTCACTTTAGCACACTCAACTGGCAGACTTTGGCTTGATACTAGATGATTTTATTGCACTGTATGGTTTTATGGACCATAAGTCCTAAAATAAAGTGTTTATGTTTTTTTTTCCATGACAAAAGACAAGCATATGAGACCTGGATAATGTTGGCAACTCACAGAGAAGAGCTTGAACAGCGGATACTGGAAAACCTTCCACTTCTTATCCTTGTAAGCAATCATTGGAACATCGACTTTGCTGAGATACTGAGAGAACAGGAGGATCAGACAGACCGTGCTGTAGAAAAACAGAAGACAGGCCCATATTTGTCACTCACAGTTGTTTCTCCCAAGGTCGGAGCAAGTATACACATGTCATTTTACACAGCAGGCCTGCCTACATGATACTTGTCATTGTGGACAATTATAGGTAAATAACAGTAGCAGTGCGGCAAAAGTGTTTGAACATTGAATAATAATGATAATAATAATAATAATAATAATAATAATAATAATAATAATGAAGATTTGTATGTCAAAACAAAGCTCAGAGTCAAAGATCACACCCAAATAGTATATAAATTGTTTGATGTTTGAGGATTTGATTTGAGGTTCCCAGGATTGTTTCTAAGTCAAGGGTCAGGATTTGAGGTTTGAATAAAAGGACTCATTGAGCCAAAAAGAAGTTTTGTGATATCCAGTTATTGATATCAGGCAGACAAGCCATAACATGAAAAAATGAATCACTACCAATCAGTGGAAAATAAAGTTACATATCATCTGGGAATTTAATATTATACTTATGGATTATCTGTCCTAAATAAATATAGGACCAATAATTGACCCCTGGGAAACACCACATGAGAAGGGTGCTCGGGTGAAGAGAATTATCCCATTACAACAGAGAAATATCTGTCTGTCTGAGCAGTAGCACTGAGGCAAGTGAGACATACTGGCAGAGGGTTCAGTACAGATGAGGAGATTTCTTGTTCACAGGTGGGATATGTAATGCCATTTATTTTATGGAAGAAATGGTGGAAAAAGTGGATGCTTCTCTTTGCTGCCTAGAAGGGGAAGGAGGGTTAGTTTATTGCCTGTAGCAGCTTCTAGCAATCAATTTTGAGAGATAAGAATACCTTGCTTCTTTATGTGCACACTGATAGGCCAGCATCAAGCTTTTTAGAACATCAAAATATACCTTGAGTTTGTCTTCAGTTTCATTCAGCTCTCTGACAAAATACTTCACTCAGTGCCCTGCCTTTGACTGGCATTTCATGCTGCGCATGAAGCACTTCATGCTGTGTGTGAAAACACTGCACACTGTGCATGAAATACTGTTCAGGGCCAATGCGAGTTTTATGTTACATGTTATTTCAGTGGAAAACTCTGCAGCCTGGTGAACACTTGGAGAGAAGAGTTCCCCAGTATCGTTCAACTGTACTTTGTTTCACATAATGAGCAAATCAATCAAATATGATTTAAACATCTACATTGTAGCTGAATCACTGATCTAGATTAGATTTACGACCACAGCAGGAAAATCAGTCTGAAAATCTAGTTTGACATATGGAATTTAAAATATGTGCTTGAGATAAAAAAAATCTAAATTCCAAGAAATCTTAATTTATCTCTTTTTTTTGCAGCCAGTGGGGGAAGGTGCAGGGGATGATGTGATATCAGAGAGATCAACAGGCTTATCTTCCCTTCCTGAGTTCCTCAGCTGTGGCAGTCTGGAACTCTCAGTGCTCTGAGGACTCTCACTCAGTTTTTAACATATATCCTACTTAGATTTTTATTTGATCTTGATCATGTTTTGGAAATTTACTTTTTAATTTCATGTGTACTGTGTCTTATGACAGACTAGTATAGTTTTAAGTATTTTTTTGTGTGCTGGGAGTTGAATTACAACCACAAGATGTTTGTTTCTCTACTGTTGTAAGCTGCTGCTCTTGAACTGAGACTGTTGGGGGGTCAGGGCACTGAGGCTAAGAAGGATATGACTGATTACGACCAATATATGACACCAGGAGGTGGATGTGCTGAACCTTTCAAAACCCACAAGGATCACTCTATGTAATGACTTTAGTCTGAATTATCTGGAGATGGCGGCGGTAAATGAAGACAGTTTTCACGAGGTTGGACAGGGCAGGAGCAAAGGTAATTGAATGGAGAGATAAAGTGGAACAGTGACTTGCAGTAGCAGTAGTTGTAGAGATTAGGTGGATTTAAGTAGTGGACTTGACTGTTTTCATAAAGAAACAACGGGGGTGGAAAACAAGCAAATACATACTGAATTAATACAAACATTTGGATGCATAGAAACATGGTAATTTGATTTTGTTGGAATGTGTAAACAGGATGGAAGGACTTTGTTTTCTAGGAATTTTCTTAGTTTCCCATGTGATCCTATGTCTTATCTTGCTGTACTGTATTTGTAAAGCTAAGGTTTGTTGTTACTATGTTGCTAGGTTCAAATATACCCACATTAATCTTATTATATCAATCAAGAATTTTAATTTTATCATTACTCCTAATCTTATTAAGCTATAGGAGAGACATACAGTACAGTGTATTCACTCAATATTTTGTCCACAATACAGTTCAACAGCGCTACAGCATCCAAAACGACCAGAGTTTATTTAAACTCTTCTCTGCTGAATGTACATATACTATATACCTACACACAGACAGATAAGCAAACTAAAGGAAAAACCTGAATAAGTGAATTAAGAGACTTAACAAATTATAGATGCTCTAATGCAGAGTATGAAAGGTTCCTGATGAAAATAATGTGGCCCTCATAATAACCCACATTTCCCCGCAAATGAACAGATGCTTGCTGTGAGACCCCCCTAAGTAAGATCGTGTGCAACCAATTGCTTTCGGAAGTCGCACACTTTGTTAAATAGAGTCAACCTGTGTGCAATTTTATCTTAATATAAATACACCTGTCCTGTGAAGGCCTCAGAGTTTGTTGCAGAATGTTGCTAAAGTAAAAAGCAGGGTTATGTTATAAAAACAAATATGCAACGCTTTGAATATTTCACAGAACACTATCATTATAAAACCCAACATCAGAAAATTTAAACATATGGCACAGCAGCAAATCCACCAAGAGAAGGCTTTCTACCTAAACTGATGAACTGGGCAAGGAGAGCATTAACCAGAGTAACCAGTACCCAAAAGGCCAATGGTAACTCTAGAGGAGCTGGGAAGATCCACAGCTCAGGTGGGGGAATCTGTCCACAGGAATCCTATTAGTCATGTACTCCACAAATGTGCTATTTATGGAAGAGTAACGATGAGGGGAGCCATCGCTGAAAGAAATCCCATTTCACTTATGAAAGAATGTACTCTGGTCAGGTGAGATCAAAAATGGAGGGAATCTTGTGAGATAGTTCAGGCAGTCAACTCGAGCGACGCTGCTATACACACATGACGTGCCTTATTCCATAATCACTAACCAAGTAACCTTCCAATCTGGAATTCCCAGCTCTCCCTCTGCTCTGTCAATGCCGCTGTTGCCCTGCATCCGTATTGCTGCCTGCTGCTCTGTAAGCCCCACCACCACCCCAGCAGCCATCTGCTGCATATACATATATACAGTATATTGTTTTTTTGTGATTAACATATTTATATCGTTTGTGCAACACATTGGTGTAAACAACCACTCACAGAGCAGCTATTCCCCAGTGACCTCCAGACTTCTTCCCAGCTTCAATGAACAGTGACAGGCCGATCAGGTTGATGGTGGGAGCGATAGCCAGCGGGCCAATGTATTTCAGCACAAGGCCCACCAGCCCAGAAAATCCTAGGACGATCTGGAGTAGAGAGGACACCAGGATGGCCCCCTGGATCTGCGGACAGCAAGGCACACAATTACAGAATTACAGAAGAGACACACAATTACATAAGCCAGGTTTTCTGTACTCAACTGTGCATCATAGCATACCAATGGTATTCCTGGAGGCATCTTTAAACTTGTATTTTGTGAATAAAAAGTAGTTTTATGGAGAATGTAATGTGATGTCATGTGAACTTAACTTATGTTAACGTATGTATGAATGATGTATGAACTATTACTCTTCCATAGTAGTTACCTATGTGAAGTCTTAAGTTAAGGCAAAATAAGGAAAAAAGAAAAGAGAGGTGCTACATGTGATAAAAAAGAAACCTGTTTATACTGCAGAAGTAGCTTCATAAATCCACCTCTACAGATGGATTTATGATTCTCACCCTGAAGTTTTATTCTGTTGAACTTCAAGCATACAGCTTCACTATAATTGCATAGTTCTGTGTCTTGTCAAACAGATATGTAATTAAGTGTTGTAAAAGTAGCAAAACAGTGGTAAAATCCTACCTCAGAAACTAGTTATCACATGTCAGTCTTGCCTACTGAAAGCTATCTAAAGGTGTGGTAACTGTACAATCAGTACCCTTTAGAAGTCCCTCTTTTGAAACATACATAACATGTATATGTTGAGAAAAATATTTTACGCAAACACCTGCTAACAGAAGGAGGATACAGTGATGCAGTCATTCCAGAAGCTCACACTAAACATGCCAAACCTGCCCGACCATGAAAAGACCTTTGACCTCATTATAGGAATACAAGTTTTTACACTAATCATTCGCTTTACCTACTTTTTAAGCTTTTACTGGCACTTCCAGGTTTTTCCTTAAATGCTTCCCAGATTTTTATTAAAATCTTGCCTTTTTATTTTTTTGGGTCTTGTTTGACCTAATGTTTGTGTTTTTACCTAAATTTCCTCGCATTTGAACACACTTTTGGGGTACTACTGTTTCACCGGTACATTGTGTCCCTCATTGTAAAGTGTCATTAGTGAAACATCCCAAAATTGTGTTCAAATGCTAAATTGTGTCATCCCACACAAATCTGGAGATTTGTGCCCTAAATATTCACTTTTGGGTTTTTTTTAAAGGTTTTTATTCACAATACCAGGTTTTTGGGTAGTACTTTATCTGAACTTCAAGGTTTGTTTGTCTGAAATTTTGTCATTTTAACACAGTTCTTGGGTTGGTGTTTTTAACCACAGTCTTTAGCAAATCAAAAATTTTACAAATTTGTTTCACCTTTGTTTCACTTCAAGTCTTAAATTCAGTATTGCCAAGTTTGGCATGCAAATCTCTTAAGTTGGTCAATTTTGTGTATGCTTTCTGGATGCAGACATGTAGCGCTGAGGAGAATATTCTGAACCATATGACTATTTCTCAACATGCAAACATTAAGGTGTGACAAAAATGATACAGGATCTTCATTGTTCCCCTTCAATCCATTACCACTGCTAAGATGACCGATTGGATTCAGTGCAAGGATATATAAGGTGCTGAGAATAATCTTCTGGCTCAAGTAAATATGAAACATACCTCACGCATTCTTGACATCCATATCTCATCAGAACTTTCCATTTGCAGGGGACTGGTGCCATTCTGAAGCTGAACCGACAGCATCACAGATTCTTTTGGGGCCGGACACTGCCACTTGGGTAGAGCAAGAATGGCCAGGGTTGGAGTTATAAAACTGAAGGTCCCACCCTGGAGGATTGGTAACCTGCAATTCAGTAAGGTGACAGGGTCAAAGGTAAGAGATCACTGGACCATATGATGCCATATCTCTGTGGACCTGAAAGACCTGGATATGCTCAAATATTCATCCTGGCAATCCTCCTGCAGGCTGGATTTAACGTGAAACCCCTTACAGGGTTCCTCTTATTGGGAACCACTGACTTACAGACATGACAACAATGTCAACTTTCATTCCAGCAATTCACCTGCAAGATACAGTATTTTATCAACATTTACTGTATTTTGCACTAATCTTCAACCTTCAACTGATTACATTCATTTAATCAGTTTAAAATGTTCTAGTTTCATGCTTGAAAATCAAATTGAATCTTGAATTTTTAACTTAAAATGAATGGAGCAAGTTATTTAAAACACGTTTCCACAGTGGCTTTGTATGATACAATGTGGACTGTGCATATATCTATTATCTTCTTTGCTTTTGTTCAGTGGTGAAATGTAACTAGGTTCTTGGTAATTGGTAATAAATGTAGTACTTCACAGTATTTTGTTTTTCACACAAAACTTATAAAATATATTTGTTATATATATATTAAACATAAACAGTTTATACAACTATAGCTGTAATTATTAGTTGATTAATAAGTTAGTCGATTGATAGAACATTAATTGGCAACTATTTTGATAATGTTAACATTAATGTTGAATCATTTTTCATGTAAAAACATTTTTATTTTCAATAATTTTAAAGTTTGTACTATTAGTTGTGCATTTTGAAGGTGTCACTTTTGGCTCTAGATAATTGTGAAGTCATTTCTAACTATTTTTTTTTAGTTTTCGCAAACCAAACAAGCAATAGATTATGGATTATGGAGAAAATAATCAACAGATTCATCCATAATGAAAATAATCATTATATACACCATATAAAACAGTTTAAAACAAGCTCTACCTCAACCAACTACAACTACTGCTTTTACTTCAATGTAATACTCATAATAACCTAATGATATAGTACAATATATATTATAGTATTACAACAGTCACACCTTTATGATAAATACAATTTATCTAATTATACTTACTTTTACTTAAGTAATATTTTCAATGCAAGACCTTTACTTGTAAAGTATTTTTACATGGTGGTATAAGTACTTTTACTTATGTAAAGGATCTAAATACTTCCACCACTGCTTTTGTTGTTTTGCAGCGTATGTATTTCTATGCACTTTTTTTTTTATATTCTTTATATTCTCTTGTTTCACTAAGCCCTTCATACCACAGTTTTTAAAGGTCCAATACAAATAAAGATTAACTTTTTTATTATTCAATATCAAAGTGTTTGCTGGGATTCCATTTTTGTCCCCTTAAGCTTTTGCCAAACTGTGTAGGTGGAGAACTCAAACAAAAGCATTAGCTATTTGCTCAGGCTTACTGTTACAGTGCTGAGTGGGCCGAAAAGTGTGTGTGGAGCCCTGTACTGTATGAGTGGGAGGCAGCTGCACAGTTGTAAAGCATAGAGATTGATGCGTCAGTTTCAGAAGGATTTTCCTATCAAAGTGCCAAACAGCTTCCAGGATCTCACATCTCTGTTATAAAAGGAAATCCACAAAATAAGCTGCATAAAATTTAGAGATCGCACAGCTTTGAGGAAAACTATTTCAGAACTTATCTTGAAGGGGAAATCTCACTTCCACTGTGACACATAGAGCCCAGCGGTGGGCTGACTGACAGTTTAACTCTACATGAACCACCACAGGGGTCTCTCTGTAAGCTAAGTTGTAAATTCAGACTGTTGCACATAGAGCTCAGCGTTGGCATGAAGTTTGTTAAATCATGACAGAACCACTGCAAGGAGGTATTATAAGGCGAGTGTTGGACGACAGGAGTATACCGTCACGTAGCATAATCCTTATCATCAGACAGGCAAAACATTCAGGGAAAAGTTGTGTGAAAAGGAAAACACATGAGAGTTTCCTCCATCTTGTGAACATTCTTAACCTTTCCTTCAGTTTGTACCTGCTGTAAATCTAAAACCTGACAGCACAACATAAAAGGTGAACACACACACACCAATGAATACCAGCCCACAGAGAGTTAGAGTACTTAAAATGTTCACACGCAAGCAGAAGCTGTCAAATCTGAAAAATTTACTCAATCCATATCTATGTGTTACTTCCTGTGAGACAATAAGGGGGTGTTACCTGGTACCGACAGCTGTCTGCAGCAGCGTACATATTCCAGACACAAAGAATATGGTGGAGATGAGCTGGCTTTTGGCAATGTTGTTGTCCTTTATGCAGAGGGGCTCGGCCAGGATCAGCGGGACTGCGATGATGCCACCGAACGCGAGGATGTAATGCTGTGGAGGCAGATGAATGTGGATACATTTGGGGACTCTTAGGAGGGGTAAAACAAAGTTATTTTTTATTTCAATATGTAAATCAGAAGTATTTATGTTTCTCCAAATCAAGAGATTTACCTTAATTACTTTTGGTTGCAAAGGTTCCAAAATCACACAATACAATGCACGCAATGAATTGTCGAAAAAGAAGATGCTAAAAAAAACCTTCATAATAGCTAATATGTATCTAGAAGAGTTATTGTAAGCTAACAAAAAGTCATGTACTTTCTTTTATGAAATACAGATTGTGGCAGAGTTTTGAACAATCCAGCATAATATCCCTCTAAGCTGTTCTAAAAAAAAATTAAATGTAAAGTTTTGGTACAGTATTTTTTATTAATATAGAAAACTGATTTTTGCATTTTATTAAATTGATTGCAATCACCTGAAAACAAATACTGCCAATTTGAACTTGTTTGAACAAACACACAGACAAATGCAAGGCTTAACTGTACTGCACACTCTACCCATGTTTGCATATGTGTGTGTTGGGGTGGTGGGGATTGCCATTGATTCACAAGAATTTAGACTAAGAGAAAAACAATTGAAGACAGATGTTGACAGGCCTCACCTGATTTATGGGAGTATTTTCGAACCTACAACTTCCATAAACCAGAGGACGATGGCTAAGGTCAGTTTAATGACAGAGGAACCTAGGAGGAGTACTCCTTTAGGAAACAAGACCACTTACAAGGCCTCATACATCTCAAGTAACTCTATATTCATCTCAGATTTACAGACATGCAAACATTTACAAATTGAACATGGAAACTGAGAAAGTGATACTCATAAAGTATGAGACCTAAGGGTGTTTGGCCTGGAGGACCAAACCCCTGTCACATTTTATGTACTAATTTTGATCAAGACTGGTCATGTTTGGTCATGTTTCATAGAGAGTCAAATCTCTCCCCTACCAGTGGGATTTTATTTCAGAAAAAAATATGTATGACACTGACACAATTCAGTTTTTGATGCTGTCATGAGTTACACATAATGTTTGGCAATTTAAAAGTTAACTTTGTAAGTCAAGAAAGCCGCAGTTTGTTGCTTCCCAGCTGATAAAAGGAGGAGGAGTTGCTGGATAAAACCGACCACGTAATATAACTTAGATAAGGTAACAGCCATGTTGGTGTTGGAGACAAAAATTGTGCAAAACAAGAGACAGTTCACTGAGCGGTTTCACAGAAGACTAAATGTTACTATGACAAACTGCGACTTTCATGACTTGCAAAATAATCTTTTAAATTGGCAACCATCATATGTATGATTCATGGCACAATTCAGACACGATCAAAACATATTTTGTCTCTTGTGCTGACTGTTTTTAAATAAGGTCCCATGGATGACACCGGAAGGGGAGAAACTTTCTACTATCACTATCTAGTGAAATCTTCAATTTTAAAAGAAGACATTTTAAATCGTGTGTCCAAATTGAAAAAGAATAGAGCACTTTTTGGATTTTGATTAAAGGTTAAATGACATGTTGAATGAAATTAATTTTTTCAGAATTCTGAGAGAGGACGTTTTTTATGTGGATTACAGTAGTAGTTTGCACATTACGTCTCAAATTGCCTGTTTTGCGTTGTTTGCAGTTGCTCAAATTGATCAAAGGGAGAAACAACAAGGAGCTTTCATTGAGTACCAAAAGTTGGTGTCCATAAAGGAGAAAAATGCAAGAAATTGACAGAAAAACCCTTGTAAAAAATGGCTTGGGAGTAGAGAGGTCTAAAATAAGTGTCCATATAAGATAGTATAGTCAGAGGTTAAAGGGTAGCCAAATGCTGGAAATAAATACAAAGCCTTCTGGAAGAAACATGGTTTAAATTACATCAATCACATCTTTCTACTGAATGACGCGATGTAGCGAGCAACATTTGTGATTAAAAAGTCAAACGTCCAAGCTTTTGTTGTAACTCTGTGGTGACCCAGATGACATGGACACACATGATTTTTTGACATTTTCAGTCAGCCACCTGGTATTTTACAGCTCGATAACTCTTCTTCTTATGTGTTTCCTGTTTGGAAGACAACGCTTTTAAAGTGCCCAATGAAACGTGCCTCCCCGTGTTAATGAGTGCTAACCTTTATGTGTAATTGCTGTCATCTGTCTGGGTTTCAGTTGGATGTTTTTGTCATATTTATTCTTTTCATCAACAATACAAATACCTGTAAGGTTAGATATGATACCAACAACAGCAACAAAAAAACACTGTTAGTTAAGGCAAAGACCTATGTCTTACGTAGTGGCTGCTTCCTTGGCTGGTGGCCGTCAGTAGCTTAGTATCAGCCATAAAAAAAAACTTTTCAGTTGAAGTTTATGTACCTCATGACAAGGCGAGGCAGTCCCCATTAATATACTCTGAGATACAGTGCCACAGTGTACCCAAATATAACTAAGGCTGCGAATAATAATTATTTTAATTATCAATATATCCCTGATTTGCTTCTTGATTTTGTTTGAAATGTCAGTAAAAAAAATGCCCATCTCAGTTTCACAGAGTTTAAGGTGCTGCCTAGGAATGTCTTGTTTTGTTCAACCAACAGTCCAAACCCCAAAGAAAGTACACTATCGTGGAAAACCAGCAAATGAGAGGGCTGAAACAGAGGAGTTTGGGCATTTTTCCTTAAAAAAGGACTTTGGCAACACTTGCCAAACTGCTAAACAAAATATGATAAATGTATATATTTTTAAAACAACGTAAACACTTAAAAGATCACAAGCTTTGGCTGCATACCACATAGTACTCTTCCTGGAAGTCATGATACTGATTTCTGGGAAAAGGATGTAGTTTGTGGTCAAGGAAAAACAATGAGGTGACCGAAAGAGGTGCAAGGGGCTATAAAAATGGAAAAGTTGGAGAAAGGTAATGATCCTTTTGGAAAAAGAAGTTGTTGCAGCTGTAAAATAATGGATCCAACTGGGAGCAGAAAAAAGGCAATTCCCTTGGGTGGACAATTAATCTGTTTTTTCTTCTCCATTTTTTTTTTTTACTTTTATGTTTTAGACTTAAAGAATTGAGCATGTTGACAGGCTGATCTAGGGGGCATTGCATCTAAACACCATGATACTCTTGAGTGGGGCCCACTATTCTTACATTTCTACACATCGCCTGGTGTCATATCACACAGCAAGCTTAAAAAAAGTGCCTATGACAGAATAAGGGGTAACTGTTTACAGAAATGGTGCAATAATGAATAACATACCAATAACAAAACTGGAGAAAACAAGAAACTAAGCAGCCAATGGTTAATAATAATATTCACAGTGGTCAACGGACGTGTCTTGTTTGATACTCACAGCTTGAAAGAATAAACATTCGTATAAAATATGTTAAAAAGTACCACAGTATGTTCCTTACTTTTACTTTACAAGAGTCTTTAATGCACAAGAAAACTGAAAATATTAAGCTCTTAAACTAAATTGCTGATTCATGACCAACAATTTATCTATTTTGCTGGGCTCCCTTGTAACTAATTTTACTGCATGATTCTAATGTCATGGCTGCTCTGCTCTGAAATAAAACTCATGCACTTCTGGTCTTCTGATTTTGTTACGTAAGACTTTCTATCATCTCCTTTTTACTGTCCATTTCAGTTTATTAGAATATTCTCCTAATCTCTACATGTTGTGTGCAGGACACTTTCCCTCACCCTGGATGTCCACTTTTAATAAACCAAATAAAGTACCCTGAAACAAGTTTTCTCCTAAAACACGCGATTTGGAAGTATAATTTATTGAGAAATGTTGAGAGCTGCTGGATAAGAGGATAACAGGTTTAATGACAGAATCAAATCCATGTGGATTATAGACTCATAGTAAGTGACAGCTGCTTAAAAAGGAGTGTAACATTTTCAACATCATGAGAATGTCAGCTTCAACTTTTGAATGTCAGCAAAATCTTGTTACATTTTACAGTGAGAGCCACTGGACTCGATTTAAAAAAATCTGCTGGATAGCTTTTAGGGCACAAAAAGTTGTACTGTTCTTGGAATGAACAAAAAGCAGATGTCGAACCCTCTGACGAAGCACAGAATCTTTGGACTGCCAGGATGAGGTTTTAAGGCCCATGCCGGGGGGTACCCAGTGGGGAATGCTAGCAGAGAGCGGCATCAGAATAGGCACCAGAACCAGAGCGTGCTATGGAGCCCAGCCCACTACACTGACAGAGACCAGTTTGATTACAGGGAATACGGTGCCGAGGTGATTTACAGCCAATCCTCCTCCTGTGAAAGCTCCTGTTCTATTGGTGTAAACACCAACACTCCCTCAGTGGTCTGAGCTCCAAGTCTGGGAGGAGTCAGCTATTGGTCATCAGACTGCATGCAGTTAGCAGTCACTATAGCAACAAGTAAAGGCATATGTCTATCAACAAACTAACTTTCCTTAAAAACTGAAAAAGCACTCTTTGTGAGACATACTGAGCAGAATTGCCAAACTACTAGAAAGATTGAGACTAGAAAGATTGAGCGGGTGAATGGGTGTGTATCCAGATATCCAGTTAGAAAAACCAGTTGGAAACCTATAGTATTCAGAGCAGTCTTAAACCTGTGCATTTTGTTCACAGGAATTACTTTTATAAATGTTTACCTTCAATATTTGAAACTTTGGCCACCTTTAATATAAACATCTGACATTGTGACATTACACATATGACATAAACTGAGGAAAAGCATCATAAATCCACTTTAAAGAGTAATTTATGCAGTAGGCCACTAGTACTACTCAGACAAGACCAAACAAGCCATGAGATTAATTTACCTGGAAGCCAAGCAGAATGCAGAGGTACCACGGGGGCCTGTCATTGAGGGAGTAAACCAGATCTACACCTCTGTCCACAGTCTCCTCCAGGGCCTCCGTGTGTGGCTCCCCAATGTCCACTGTCAGCTGCGGCTGTTCATCACTGTCTTTGTCCTTGGAAAGAAGCACACCAAAGGTCACACACACCACACAAGTCATTCATTTATCAATTTTATTTATCCAAGCAACATCAAATAAAAAACAATATTTTCTTACAAATTGAGGTTTAATTCCATCCAGACTATTTGGAGACACACACCAACTCCCAGAATATTCTGACAACACAAACATATCTTAAACCAGTCTCTCACTGTTGCGTTGCACATACCAGAGACTCTCACTGTGCCAAGGCCATTTTAATGGTTTTGCTTTTTCACTGTTTTCTTTCCAGTGTAATCTAGAGCTGTTGGTTTAGTTTAGTTCAGATGAGAGACATAAATACTGACCATACGCAATGGAATTAATGTGATGAGTTATGGCGTGTGGAACATCCATGTGGGCGATTGTGGAAGGCAAGTGGGGTGAATATCACATACCTTCTCTCAAATCCTATCAAGATGCTGTTGATGAAGGTGCCTAAAGTTCAACTGCTCTGGTGGTCCTCCCACACAACATTTTTAACCTTTTACAGTCATGTAAAATTTCATGTATTGTTCGAAAGACGGTGATTTTTGTTGCACTATGACATTTTCCTCCACTCTGTCACCTTCAGAGATTATAGCATCCTTCTTTTTTGTCTCAAAGCAAGACAAGATTTGACAAAGAGGTACTGAGTTTGCTGGGTTGGGGTCCAGCCACTGAGAGTGGTTGGATTGAAGTATACAAAAACCTGAAGAGAGGATGTTTGGACAGCTATTGTTAAAACTTAAGTAAGATATTGACCATATTTTGTAGGCACTCCTATAAGTTTTTACAGAGAGATAAAAGTACATACTTCTGCATTGTATTCATTACATGTTTAGTTTGGTATGTGTGCGTGCAGGTGTGTGTCATCGTTCTACAGAGGGAATGGCAATAATTGAGGAGACTGAAGTTCGGGGTATTTTAAATATGCATAAAAATTAAGGTTATATATTTGCATTCATTTGAATTAAGTCAGTGTAATGCTGGTAAGGTAATGGTTTGCAGACAGTGTACCAGTAGTATGAAAAATTAACTTTTGTCAGGGGGAAAGTGGTATTCAGGTTTAACAATCAGGGAAAATGACCTGAGGTCTGGAGCTCTGTGCCCTTATTTTTGGCTCTGACTACTGTTCAAATGTCTGGAAACATGACGCCAAAACACCAGAGGTTCTGCTTCCATCAGGGGCACATAAATCTGTGTAGGGGTGATACAAGGTATTTTATATCAAAGTGTCAGCTAAATAACATAAGTTATGTGTAATGTAATTCCCTCACTGTACACGTCGTCCGAGGCAAAGTCATTAACCTTTGCAAGATTCACCTCAGTTTACTCTTACAAATAACAAAAATCCTTGAAACCAGAGACCGTATTTGTATTTCTTCTACTACTTCGACTTGAAAGAATACTGTTCCTGGAAAGACAAGTTTTTCTTTGCTGTTTAAATCATTTTGGTGAGATCGAGCAAATCACAGAAATGTTAGAAAAATAGATATCGAGTGTGGTCCTCTGGTCTTCACGTATGTAAGACTGAAGGCTCTGGCTTTCTTCCCAAAGAGAGATAGAGTAGGTCAGGTGGTTAATGTGAAAGTCTCAACAGTGACAGATGTGATCCACCAATAGAAGCACTTTTTATATATATAAAACTAGACTAGAGCCTGTTCTGTCCAGGGACTTTCTTTGGTATCATTTGGGAAGAAGTGATAGGTGTTGATGGCGATGTGACTTGCATTAATGACTATTAAGTGTGTATGAGTGATTTTTAAGGGCCACCTGATATGCGAGACCAGGGGCTGTCTTCAAATGCAAAGAGGTCAGCTCCTTCCTAAATCAGGCCACATGGGACAGATCATTTTCCTGTGGGTTTGTACAAACACTTCAGAGGATGTTTGAAGTGCAAGTCTGATTTGGTGGTTACACAATGCATTAACACTATAAAGATACAGAATAACACCTCTGGCCAATACGTAAGGAAAACATCAGTCATTGAGATATATATGGTACCCCAATCTTTCTGCCTTCTGTTTTCAGGATTATGTATATGTGTATACAGAATATGATGAGATGAGATGCCCTGTGAGACCCATGAAGTGTCATCAAATGCAAAGAGGTCAGTTCCCTCTTGACACCATCCACATGGGACATATCAGTTTCCAAAGGGGTTTGTTCAAACTCTTTTGAGTATGTGTCTGTTTGAAGTCAGTCAATGACACCATTGTCTCCCATTCAGGGGGGTTGTTTTAAAGATGGAAATGGTGGGGGTTTAGGTTAGGACATGTAAGATTGCATTGCAAGGAAAAGGTGTAGCAAACAACAAGATGTTGTTAAAGTGAAAGGGGAGACACGATGACATGGAACCCTGGTGGCTGGATTTTAAGTTATAGCTGTAATCCTGCTGAAGTGTGTGAGTACTTACAGCTCTGCATTTAAAATCTTAATCGAAAAATGAAACCGTCTATCTGTCTCTTTCTCTACTGTATATTAGTAACTAATAAAAATGTCTGGAATATTGCTTCATCGTTCTCATCGGATGCCTCACATAGTCATCACTAGCACAAGATAACATCCAGACTTTTCTGAATCTAAGCCACATGTTGCAGCCTTTGCTCCACAACTGGCATCCACGCAAACAAAACACCTTGCTGTGCACATCCCATCACTGCATCTGTCTCACATGAGAGTCACATGACAGAGACAGACCGTGCAAATACGGACCCATCTTCATCACATTTCATCTCTCTTTAATTCACTCTCCCATCATAAAAGTTCTCAGGTAGTGAACGTACACTGTTGATTCAGTGATTACATGGTGATTGCTTCCATCTAGTGGCTACCTACCTGCACTCTCCTGCACAGGAGGAGGCCATGGTAAGTACTTTTTGCAGTATCTTAAAGTTCCAAATACCTCCATTTTATTTGGGTGGTAGCAGAGAGACACATATCTCAAAAGCCTAGGGTTCTGAGACAATGACCATGTAATTGCAATTTCCATGGTTTGATTTCAGCAGGGGACATTTGTTGCATGTCACCCCCCCTTTCTCTCTCTCTCTCTCTCTCTCTCTCTCTCTCTCTCTCTCTCTCTCTCTCTCCTCATGTCCATATGTCCTCTCTCCCTCCACTTATAAAGGCAAGTTAAACTATCTGCATGATCACTGTTACATAACCAAAGTGTGACTCCCTGGTCTCTACACCAGGAGTATATAAATGTAGCTTTTGGAAGACAGAATTGCTCCTATACATTACATACAGCTAATTTGTGCATGTTGACACTTACATTTTGATGGGAAAAGCAACAGACTTTTTCAATATTAAACCAATAATTTCATTATGTTATGTCAAATGTTATTAATGTTTTTTTTGCTATAAGCAGATATCAATAATTTGCAACTTGGCTGTTAATTAATTATCATTAACAGCATTCATTAACAACAATAAACCCATTTTTTAACAGTTAATTTCCTGATAGACAGAAGTATGATAAAAGTGTGGTTAATCATCACTGATGCTAGCCAGCATGATTATTTAGTGCACAATATCATGTGCTGACATGTGTGCCTTCCATGTCACAGCTGTGACAATATGGACAGAAAGGTCAGGCGTAGAAAGACCAATCAGTTTTCTGGCTGCATGGATGAACTGGGACTCTTCAGTCAGTGACTGTAAGCATACTGAAGAAAGGGAATGAACTGGTTCAGTGATGCTGTTTTAGTTTCCAAATGACTGATTGTCTGATTGTCTCTTTTGGCTGGATATGTGAACTTCTATGGTTTGCTGATTCCAACTGAGTTATTGTTTAGTTTCCTATGTTTTCATTTTTTAATCCAGACATCTGAAAGATTGGCTTACCAGGGCCAGGCCATTATCCTGTTTTTCCTATTTTTCAATAATAGTATAACTATGTGAAGCAAGTCCTAACTATATGTTAAAATATAGTAAGCAAAATGTTGTGCTTGCTCATGGTGGGACCTGTTGGGTCTCTGTAAATCATTTTATAAGGAGTACAGTCTACACCCTATTTGAAAGTGTCCTGAGATCATTTTTGTTATGAATTGGCGTTTTTTTTTTTTTTTATGTAAAGTGTCTTTGAGTATTTAGAAAAGCGCTTATAAATAAAATGTATTATTATTATTATTATTATAAAAATAAAATTGATAATGCCAAAAATTTTAATTTAAAAACTGTTAAAACAATGGTTATATTCATCCTTGACATCTAAGAAACTATATATTTATGTGCCTCCTTAAAACAGGAAGTTTACAGAGCAGTTTCGTAAAAGTAGTGTAGTGAACAGAAAATATTCAGTCAACAACCAAACTTGACATTACTGACCAACTACACTGTTACAAAGCACTGGGCAGCAGTGAAGTAGGCTGCAATCATTCTGACAAATAAGGTTAGCCACCTTGCCCACACAAGCATCTGTATAAACACTATGTTGAGGAAGTATTCTGATTTAATTAGCAGTCTGTTCTACTCCACTAAAGCAGAAGCAGCACTAGATGAGAGTGTAATAGTTAATGTTTTGGCAGTTAAGTGAAAGCTGTCTTAATTTGTCATGAATAAAAATAACAAATTGGCTTGCTAACAGAGTTAATATTTACATATGTACACTAGTTAATTATTGGTTATTGTGACGAGTAACCCATTCCTAGCAGTCTGTAGTTGTTCAAAATACAATATGAAGTGGAGTTCACACTTTGCCAGGGCAACACCTAACCTGACACTGAAGTCAATGTCAAACAAACATTGACTTCCCCATATTCAACCATTTTTACCTTTGCTAATGTGTATAATGCTCGGCTGTTGGTGCTTGCCTCACCTTGATAGCCAAACCAGTATCTCTATATTAAACATCAAACATGCATTTTGCTTAGACATTTTTTTGGTGACATATATTTTCTAGCATAATGGTTATTCTATACAATTGCTTAACGTTTATTGGACCTTTGGTAGTTTTGTATCTTTCTCAGTCCATGAAAGCATCACTGATATGAATTGGCAGAGTTCCATTACCCAAAGAATACTAAAATCCCCAAAAAGTAACAAGTGAATTAGACATTTTGTTTAACATGAAGCCAGCCTTTGTTTTGGGAGTTTAGCTTCTATCCACTAATGATACCCGAAACCCTAGATGGACATCCCTTGGACACAAAGCTGATCTGACGAACAAAAGCTTACTTGTGGAAAATGCCAGAAAAATACCACAAACACATTTCCTTTTCCAATCTGTGGCATGGAACTGTTGAGTTCTAAGTAACCCTAACCCTGGTAGGAAATACATTCTGTGAACCAGGTGTACTGTGTATTGTTACAACATACCAATTACAGCCAGATCACAACAAGGGAGGCATGCTATGGACTTACCAAACAGACATAAATGGGTCCATTTTAAGTAAATATAAATGATTGCTACACTTGCGAAATTGTTTGGTCTCTCTTTTAAGAAAAATTCCTAATCTGCTTTCATTTTATTATGGTTTGATTCAATTATCTACTATTACTTAAGATTATTACTATTACTGCGTTTGATGTTTTTAGCTCTTGGCAGCAGCTTAGACACTGAAGGAAATCTTAATAAGGCACTACATATGCGATTTATTTGTTCACTCACTCAAATATTACAAAGGATAAGACTGCCAGTGGGACCATGGATTTTGTATTTGTTTAAAATGCGAAATATTGTGTCTATAGATTGAAGTCACACCATTACCTTATCACCTTGTTGTTCTTAAGCATTTATCCAACATACACTACTACTTTTGTCCCAAAAAAGCCTATAATTACCCAGCAACGCCAACAAATATACTAATAAAATAAAATTAAAAAAAACAGGGTCCACAGTTCTAAAAGGGTTATTGTGAAATATATTTACATACTCAAAAATGAATTATGAAAACTTAATCTGGGAACCAAAGTAAGTCCTAGTTCAACATATTTGAATTCATTGTATGGGAGAAGTCTCTCACTGAGCCTTTGTATAGAAGTGGCAGGTAGTATACAATGCAAGGATAAAAATAACAAATGAGGCCCTGTGCCTCTGCCTGTATTATTTTGCAGATGTTGACAGACTGATGTGTTTGCCCATCTGCACTCTAAGCTGTTCTGTTTGTTTGCTCTTCCCATTTTTTTTAATTCTTCAGTTATTGGAATGTGGAGAAAAAAAGGGGAAACATCAACTTGGGCTCAGCTGTGTACACTTGCACACCCCATGCAGCCCGACCCTTTTACCATACACAAATCACACATCCCCACTTCACTCTCCTTTATTCAGTTTCTGTTTCCTGATTGGTGTTTTATCAAAGAGCATTTCTAGTTTCAGTTCGGAGCTCTTTGATCCGTCTCGACTGCACAGGGTTAATCTTTGTCACATACTTTGAAACCATGCAATCGATTGCACTGAAACATACCGTCTTTTGTGGAACACATGCACACTTTGGTGATTTCACATTCCACAGTGGCTTACGTTTAGCTCTTACTGTTGTAATGTAAGAACATAGCACTTTATTTCTCTCTCTAGTTCTCTCTCTCTCTTGGTAGGAAAAACTAATTAATAAGACTTAAACACGAAAAACAACTTAAAGTTATTCATATTAAAAAAAGATTTTTGCTTTATCTCACATTCTCACCCAGTGTTTGATACTTTTTTTCATTTTTTTTTTGTCAAAAAAGCCAGACTGAACAATTAAGACAGAATTAAGATGACACTACACTTACCCCAAATGCAGGATTGACTGTCCCCTGCCCCTTAAGTCCAAGCTCTATTTTCTCCTCTGTAGCGAGACGCATTCTGGTAAAATGAGGTAAGGTGGTGTATAGTTGCTTCTGAGGATCAAAGTGGACTCCACACAAATACACAAACACACACGGTGGGAGTATAACTCTGACTGGACCGACGACCTAAGAGGAGAACATGAGTGACCGCCTCGCGTCACCAGGGAAACTGAATATCACAGTCAAAAAGAGAGTGGCTCAGTTATTTTGTAATCTCCTCTCCGGCACTGAAACGTTTCTGGTCTGTGTATGCTTTAGTTACTCTGACTTAAGGTCATGTGCCTGATGTTGTGTGACGATGGCTCCTATGAGAGGAGACAGGCATGTTTGTCACATGAATCTTTAATTTGTCATGCTAATTCAGATGCTCTTCTCCTATCAAAAGAATCAAAATAAGTGTGAAATTAAGACATTTTGGGAAGCTGTTATTGTGTGGGGTTTCAGAGGCTCATCATTCAGCGTTTGTAGTTCACCTATACTACAATAGACACCATGTTATCACTCAACACATTATAATACTTGAGATTTAGGTTGGATGAAATTGTCATTAGTATCAGTCTATGTCCCTAACAGATCATTGTGTCACAGTGATGCTGCATTCAGTTCCTTTGCTTCCAACCTTCTTTTAAAACTTATAACATTACTTTTCCAACTTGCTTTAATCTTTTATTGTATATTTCCTTGCCACCAGTATCTGTTGTTACTCATTCACTGTTATTTTGTATGTGTTTTATTTTTGCTGAACCGTAGCAAAGCAGGGTCCAAAAGGCCAGAAGGTGTACAGACAAAACATTCTGGGAAGAAGCAAGAAGTCATCAAGTGTTACCAGAAGATCACCATAAACATGGCTTCACATTCAGCTATACAGCTTCTCAGTGCTGAGGAAGAATTGTAATTAATTGTAAACTCTAGTCTCTATAGGTTAAATATCCTTTATACAATTTGACTCTGCCAGCAAAATAGGATTTACTCAAATGTAATGTTCTACAATGTTCGCTAATGTAATGAAAAGTTCTACAGATGCCTGTGAACTTCTGTATTCAATGAAGTAAGAAAAAAACTAACACAATAACCCTTTATTTGTGTACGTAATCATCAGCAAAATGTTCACAGACAATGTATTTCATTTGATTTCCTACAGTAACCAATAGCTTGCACAACAAGGAACAACAAGAACTTTCATTTATAATGAAGCTATGTTTTCTTTTGTGTATAACCACCTCGTTATAGAGAATAAGAACCATTATATTTTGAAAGAGACAAAATAGTTTTTACCAGTTTCTGGTAACTTGAAACTTCACTAGAGCAGTATTTTCAGAGAATCTGCTTCAGGGCATTTTTTTAAATAGTTTGGAGCCTCTCCCCATTTATTTTACACATACATAAAGGGAAAAATGGTAAAAATGTTGGGCTGGCTATAAAAAATGTTATTCTTTTCAATACTAGTCCTAATACAGGTAATTTGACTTGAATATAGGGAATACATGAATGATGCTTTAATACTTCTTTCAACAGCTCTTTAGTTTTTAAACTGTTTTACAAAATAGTAAGTCCATTGTTTTGTTTTACCAATAATGAAATCTATGAAAAACATATTAAAAGGAACTGAATATCATACTTTCTCTCTTCAAGTGATTTACAGTTTAGAAGGGTATATTACGATGATAAATGTAAGGGGGTTTTTTTAAGGCCCTGATGTTCCTGATCATCAATTTTTTGGTCAGTTTGCAATGTGACTGTCAGAGTCTGAAGCCTACATTATTGTCCCTTCACGTCAAATCTACTTCAAACATTCCAAAAAGGTTCTGGATGTTAACCATTTGTAGTCTTTACAATCTTTTTCTCCACAATTGAAACCTCATCTGACCCTACAAAAGTAACAAAATCACTGGACATGCTCTGGGTGCTTGAAAACGAACACGAAAACTAGCCTATATTTAACATTACTTTCCCACATGACAAACCAATTTTCTTGCTAAGGGAACGAGAAATCAATTCATTCCTATGTCATGGCATATTTGTGAGATTTGTCATGAGAGTGGCAGTCATTGAGAAAATGTTATTCTGGGCTAGGATCAGCTGAGGGCTGATGCATTTCTAAGCTAACTAGTTGGAAAATGTAAATTTGATGTAGGGAATCATAAGCTCACATGTCATAAAAGTGAGGAATTCGAAGAGACTTTGCACAGACTGAATTGCACAGATTGGACCATGAGTAGAGTCAATAATGTTGAATGCTGAGAGTAAAGAAATGAAAATCTTGGTCCTTTTTATTTTCCAAGCTTGATAGCGACTGAATGTCAGCATACCTATCTTACCATGCACGGAGAGAAATTCAGAGCTGCCAATTCCAGTCCTGATGGCAGACCTTTTATCACTTATTCAGTTGCCTTCTTGCTGAGCAGATGATTCAATTTTTCCGAACAAATGTGACTTGTGACATAAGTTTCCATCTGATACATAAGTAATTTAGCTGTTAAATATGCAATAAACCCAAACTGTGCTGTTCTCACTTATCTACTTTTGAAGTAAAAACTAAAGTTGAATTTAAAACAAACAACAAAACAGGCCTTATTATATATTGGATGTTTGTATTGCCCTTTTGCTGGTTGATTTCTAGCCATAGTCAGTACTGTATGTCTAGGTATAGGCAGTGTATGGCACTGACTGTCTTGAAAAGCATTGAAAAAGAAAGTGGCCTTTACTCTGTTTGACCTGCCAGCACCAACATTATTCCTCTCTCGCTTTGCCATGTTTACAGTTGCGTATGGAGTAGCACTCTTTATTTCTATTGGTCAACATCATGGAACACTTCGTGGAAGGCATTTTATATTTTTGTACATTTCTGTTCCTGATTTTCTATTATTGGGCTGACATCATGTATTCTGTATTCTTCAGTCAAGAATATGTACTTGCTCAACAAGTAGAAACAGGGCAGCTGTTTTGAACTGAATGAAGAAACTAAGTACTTTGTTTTGTTTGGTGCACCACTGAGACTTGTGTATACCGGGTGTCATTGCACCATGTAGAGCTGAGTCAAAGGAGATACAACAGTTTGTGATTGTTCACTTTAGAAATGCTGCCTGGTGTGAAGATAAATCTCTGGCCCAACGGCATGAACATCAGAGGCATTCAAGGTTGTGCCACCCTTTGATTTTCTTATTTATGACTTTCTCCATGTACCTACATCACCTCCACAAAGAAGCCCCTTGGTCAAGGTCTGTTTTTCCCAAGGTTTTTGCAACTGTAAATAGTGTTTTACACTACATCTTATCTGTTCACGTGCAAAATTGTTATTCATGTCTGTTTATAAAAGATGCCACAGAAACATCGTCGTCTCAGATTCTGTAATAACTAAAATTACGGTATACATCTCCATACTCAAGTATTTCTTTTCTCCACAAAGTTGCTGTTGAGATTCTGAACAGCAGGTGCCTAAAGGGATTTGACATTGAGATTCTTTGTACCTTCAGCCTCTCACAGTTTACAATAATGCTGTGGTGTTTCACATGATAAAACCAAATGGGGGAAACATTTCCACCCTGAGAAAGCTAACATTGATTTAACATAGCAACATTGTTTGTGGACTTGGACTTGAAATTCAGTCTGTAACTTTTAGGGGAGTCTATTGGAAGAAATGGAATATAATATTCATAGGTATGTTTAACTTAGCGTATAATTGCCTCAAAGTAAGAATCATTGTTGTTTTTTTTCCTTAGAATGAACTGTTTTTATCTACAGAGGGAATGGGTCCTCTTCTACAAAAGCAGATATACATTTTCTGGAACAGACCAGAAAATAATTCTTATCAATGTGTGTGTCCTGAACAAGCCATTATACAACACTGGCAACACTATGCCACAGATCCGAAGAAGCAGCCAGTACAGTTTGAAGTCATCAATTATCCTATGATTCTTTGGACTGTGGGAGGAAGTTGGAGCACACAGAGTAAACCCACGCAAGCACAGAAAGAACATGTAAACTCCACAAAGAAAGGCCCCAGCTGCCTGGCTGGTTTGAACCCAGTGGCGTGAGTGCAAATAAGAGGAGGCGTACTCTGTGTTTACATCGATGATGCTTGGTGCACAAACGCAGTCAAAGCTGATGGACAAATTTCAAATGTCTCAAAGGCCAACCTTTTTATGTGAAGATGAAACCATCATCACTATCTTGTTGCTGCTATTTACATTCTCCCAGATGCACATTCAAAAAATGCACTGCATTGGGTGTATACATATCTATAAGTAATAGCATATATTGTTTTATATTATTTTATTTTACTAATTTACTGTCATTTGTTGTACAACCTTGTATGTGACAAATACATTTCCTTAAAAGTCCAGTGTTTGAAATTTTGGAGGCTCTGCCGGCAGAAATTGAATATAATATTCATAGGTATGTTTTCATTTGTGTATAATCACCTGAATATAAGAATTGTTGTGTTTTTGTTACCTTAGAATGAGCCGTTTTTATCAACAGATGCCACAGGTCCTATATGTAACACACTGACGGACTCACTAAATGACACAGGGATAATGTGATTTGTTTTGTGATTGTGAGTCTCACATGGGTCAGTCCTGTGTTGGAAGGAAGGAGGATTAGTCATCCTTCATTTAATCAATTATTCAGATGTGTATAGTGAGGTGTTGTGACCTTTCCCGCTATCTGTGTTTTACAGCTTTTCAAACTAATTCTTTCTGGAGATTTGGATTTTTTTCAAATTAGAGATAGAAATACGGCAAAGTTTGAGTAACCTATGATTCCTCTGGGAATTATACAACTCATAGTGTTTGAATTAATACTCACACACGTTTGTTATGTTAAACATTTAGAGCCAAAGTCATGAGCTCAGTCTTTACTACAACATTTCAGTTTGGGAGACGCAACTAGCTGAATGAGAATCAGAATCAGAATTAATTTTTATTGGCCAGGTATGTGCACACATACAAGGAATTTGACTCTGGTTTTTCATTGCTCTCATTGTACAAACACAGACTAACAGCATAACTGAAAAGTTATACATAAAAATAAACAAAAACTGTTCCTGTGTCTGTTTGTTTTAGTGTACGATGCTCTGTAGCACCTACCAGAGGGGAGGAGTTGGAAAAGGTTGTGTTCAGGGTGAGCTGGATCTACAGGGATGTTTCCTGCTCGTTTCCTGACTCTGGACAGGTAAAGGTCCTGAATGGAGGGCAGGTTGACACCAGTTATC